TCTATCTGGTTCTCTATGGTGTGGTCAGGTGAGATCAATGCAGCTTTGTGTATGCGTTTGTGTGGGAATATTGTGCCGCCTATAACCAATTTGTTGAATGCACATAGGTTTGCAAGTCTCTCCCCATTTTCATTTCTCTCTCCTAGTCCATGTCGTCCAATTATATCTTCATATCCTGTGTTGTCCACTCCAACTTTAGCATTTAGATCTCCCATCAGGATTGTGAGGTCCTTTCGTGAGCACTTCTCTATAATTGATTGCAGCCTTTCATAGAACTGATCTTTATCATCGTCGTTGCTATCATTGGTGGGTGCATAACATTGGATAACGTTCATTGTGATCCCTTGCTTCTTTGTTCTGAATGATGCTTTGATTATCCTGGGTCCATGAGATTCCCATCCCACAAGTGCATTTCGTGCTTCTTTGGACAGCATTAGAGCAACTCCCTGAGTGTAGGCGCATTTTCCCCTTCGTGACCGGAGTACAGCAGCATCTCTCCTGTACCTAGCCTTTGTTGTCCAGTTTGTGTCCAATGGGTTTCGCTGATTCCGAGTACTGCCAAGTTGTATCTCCTCATTTCCATTGCTATTTGGCTGGTCTTCCCTGTCTCCCACATTGTCCGGACGTTCCATGTACCTATAAAGAGTGTTGCTCTGGTTGTTAGAAGGTGCATCGGTCTCGTGACTTCCGAAGAATTTCGGCTTTCATCATGAGACGTCATAATTATTCCATGAACTTGAAGGGCAGAGTTTAGATGTTTTGAATTATTTTTTCTGGTTAGAATTTTTTTAGCGAGTTAGTTTTTCTACGGGATGGGGTCGCTAACCCCTTGCCCAACCCTCCTCCTTAACCCGGGCTTGGGACCGGCAGTAACTCTAGAAGAACTACAGGCGGATTTCTGAATCCTACTACAAGCCACAAATCCAACTTATTATAAAAACATCAGTAGAATTGTGACAAGGTATCATTCCAGTTATTCAATATCAGTTTCACATGATTTTTATTACCTCTATATCGTAATCAGTTGATTTAGGTTTGTCAGTTATAATAAATATTTAACAGTACAAACTACTTGACGTATACTAATTGTCCTAATATCTTCATTAAGTAATAATCAAGTTATTCGACGTTAATATTACTATAATTACCTTAAGTGTAAAAAACAAGGATGACAGATGAGTTCATAAACAATCATTACAGCTGAAACGTCGTTTGAACAATGATTACTCTTAATTAAATAATTTGTATTAAAAATTAAAGATCTTGAAATATGAATTTATTCCGTCGTATAAAAATAAATAAAAACTCCTTGAGTGCTGTTAGAGGTATGAGGGCAGTTATCACTTCCCGGTTGCCTACACCGTGGAAGGGTTCTTCTAAAGCTACCTGGAAAGGAAATTGAGTTAGAAGTAGTTTTAATTACCTGAGAGCGTGACCGCAGTGCCCAAGGGACAACTGCTTGTGTTCGGTCACACACGACCTTTTTGTGGTAGTTTTTGTGTTAGCTCCGTTCTTCGAAGGACCTTACCGCCGGAGATGTAAATCCGAGGGATAAGGCGGGGTATGTATTTTTAGGGTCGACCTTTTCTGACCCCTCTTTGTGAGAAGGCAGCATCGTTGTTATGCTGGTTGTCTGAAGGAAACACCTTACTACTGTCACACCTCTGTACAGTCAGCAGTATGGCTTCGCCTTCGGACCTTGGGTTTTTTGCTTTTAGTCTTACCGCTCTTCAACCGACCTTCCTGGCATTGTAGGACCTTGAGGAACGATTGTTCCACACAGTATAGCTCGATTGGTTCATCATGATAGGAAAGCCCGACTGTTAGGTAAGAATCCTTTGATACCCCATCTAAGATCTGTATGTAGTTAATACAACCTATGTATACATACATTTGTTTAACGATCAATGAGTGTTACTCAACTTCTAGGCCTGACCCCTTAGTTCACGGTTTTTCAATAGGATTTCACTTATATTCCCCATAGTGAAGGGATTCTCAATGGAGAAGAATTGTTACCTCAATAAGTATGAAAAGAGAGTAAACGATTCACGAAAATTCTGATTTCATGTACATCTTGCTTATCGGTTTAATAAAATTGATACAAAGAACATTTTAAAAGTGTGATACAAGCGTGGAGAACTGGTATCAAGAAACAGAAATTCGCGAAACTCAAGTTGATAGAACGGAAAGACTGATGTAAAGTAGAGATTTTATTCACATGACCACAAACTATGTACCATATGTCTTCATTTTTATTCATAATTTCCAGGTATTTGATGATAATGAATCAATAAATTTGATGATTCAAAGTGAGAAAAGACGAAAGTAAATTTCATACAAATTGACGATAACTCGAGTGATACTTGATATACTGATTGAATATCACACTACTGAATTCACTAAAACAACACATCTGAGGTTGAGTAAAGTGAGAAGACTATCATGATTTCTGTGAAGTATTTACCAATGAATAACAAATTTTCCTACGACAAATAACTATTATCAGTAAGAGGTTATGGGTGTTGTTGAATTTCACTGAAATTCCAAACTGGTCGAAGTTAGACGACATTGCTTTATGAAAATTAATGTTGACAAGAGCAAACTGAAATGACGACTGCACTACATTAAATTTGGAAATTTTCATAATTAACGAATTTTTTGATACACAAGTGGAATAGAAATAAAGTATTGAAGGAAATAAAGTTATACGATTACAGTAACACAATCGATTAAATACCGAGATCACTTGTTGACACTCAAATCACGTGTTGCGGCAAACAGATTATTCACAAAATGAATAATAATAACACAAGTTACTGAATATTAGAAAGTAATATAGTGCCGTACACAAAAGTAATTACGAAGTCGTAATTATGTCAAACACTATCACCTTGGTGCATCAAGTTACCTATTATCTTCTTGTGTAGCAGACTCCGTTAGACATGAATTACACCGACTGAGGTGTCCAAGTCAGCTAATTTGTTATTAACTTATCGATTCACTCGGTTATGTAGATCACATAACAAATAGTTTGTAAACGGTCCATCAAATGTATGAACTACATTTAATGATTTTTTCCGAAATTGAAATACGGCTTCATCATAGTAAAGTGGATCTCACATTCATATTTAAAATAATTGAGTATTGTGTGATAACCAAATTAATGTTTGTCTAATCATTAACATCGTTCGAACTCTACTTTCAAGATTGTTGTATTACCAAGAATCTAAATGACTTGACACCTGTCACTATTTTATTTGTGTTAGATGGACGATGTAATAGGTCGGTCAACACTTGAACTAGATATCGTACCTGTTGGAGAAGATTTGTAGCTCAGGTGGGAGTTTTGTTCTCAGAGATGGATGGTTTGTTCGTGGGGCTTTCATCGTCCATCTGAACTACATCATCAGCAAAAACTTAGGGTAGAAGTGAAGTGTTTGAATTTCTCCACATGTGATTCACAGCTTGTCCTCTGCACCTCGATGTTGATTGGTTCTTATTGACCTTAAATCTGTCATTGTTTATTTCTTTGTTTTGGTTGCATATCCCACTGGTTTGATTTTTGTTCCTATGTTTATGCATAATTTTCCTGATTGATTGATAAATTGGATTGATTTCGATGTGCTTGTTCATTGCTGATTGACCTGAATGCCGAGTTTCTTAAAATTCTCTGATGATTTTTGGAATTGCCTCTGTCCAAAATCTTCACATTTTCCCAGTCGAATGTGTGTTCCGTGGTTGTCCACGTGTATTGATATGAGTAAAGACATGTCATGGCATTTGCCTGCTAATTGATGTTTTATGAAGGCGAAGATGAATAGGGCATCCGCTTTGTCCGATACACTGTTTGTCTCACTCGGCACAATTTATTTTGTAGATGATGTTTGGTTAGTCTTCTTTTGTCATTTCATCCTTTGGTTTGCATAAGATTGAATGGAGGGATTTTGTTGGTTTGTGGGCGACATATATTCTGAGGGTTTTCAGTAGCCTCGTTGTTGATTCCGATATACCTTTTATGTATGGTAAGGTGATCCTTTTGTTGATTTCTATACTTGACTTTGTTTCTGATGATGGTTGCGACTGGTATTTTTTTATCAAACTGATTGGATAGCCGTTCTTTTGTAGGATGGTTTTCAGGTATTTTTCTTCCTTTTTCTGTGCTGTAATTATGTTGCAGTGTGTCCCCGCCCTCTTGAACAAAATTTGTACACAGTTGATTTTGGGAGTTCTTGGGTTGTTGCTATTGTAGTTGAGAATTTGATCGATTAGGGCCGTTTTCCTGTACACTTGAGTCTCCAGTTTATTTGTGTCGGTTCTGGTGATTAATATATCTAAGGATGATAGCTTGTTGTTCGACTCTTGTTCCATGGTGAACCTGATGTCATTGAAGACGTTGTTGATCTACCTGTAGGTGTTTTCTAGACATCATACCTCATGAAGTCATACTAAACTCACTCAATGTAATAAATTAATCAAAAAAATACGATATACTGAAATGAGTTGTTCGTTTTATTTTGACAAAAGAAAAAAATCAAAACGGTTTTGATTAAAAATTAGTCAAGAGGCAAACCAATGAATGTTCAATCAAATAAACACATTCCATTCTGTCTTGCATTTTAACACAAGCTAATTAATACTATTTTACTTTTTTTTTAAAAAAAGTCATAGAAATGAATACATGGGAAGGGGGGGAAATGTTTAAATTAACAAGTAAGTACAAAACCATTTTAAATAAAGCAAATACAAGTGACTGAATTATTGTTTTATAATAGATTCTATGAATCTCCCAATTTTATCCCTTATCTATATAGTTTCAATAAGATAATAATTATATTGTTCAACGATGATTTCTGATTGTTTATATCAGTGTAATAAAGATGTAAATATTATATGTACACATGTATGTACCAAGCCTACATCTCCAGCTGTTCATATAGGGTGAATATGTAAGTGGTTTGTTTATATAATAATAATAATTATAATAATAATAATAATAATCATTATTATTATTATTATTATTATTAGACGAATGTTCCTTCCCGAAATGCTTGGTATGTAAAATGTTGTACATTTGCTTTCTGTTCGGATAATTGACCATCTTTTGACTTCTTGGTATCTTGTTCATCAATATTACCGTTATTATTGTTTGTATGGTTAGCAACAGTACTGACATCAATATTATCACCATCATGATAAACATTATTATTCACTATTTTACTAATATTGTCATTATTATCACTAGTCAAGTTGATATTTTGTGATTTCAATAACTTATCATTTGATTTAATTCTATATTGTTCGTTTTGTCTATTGTGATTTTGCATTGAACGTTTAACTGAATGTATAGCTAATTCACCGGCTTGTAAATTATACATACTATCGTCACAATTATTATTATTATTAACTGTTGTCGATGTACCCAGTCGTCTACGTCCTTTTCCACTAGCTGGTCTACCTAAAGTAGCTATATGATTATATGAACGACTATTGAGTTCGGTCAATCTTTGTTGAGTTTGCTGTCGACTACTATTGTTGCTGGAATGCTGTGTGTTAAAATGATTATTAGTTGAATGCGATAAATTTTGTGCATGTAAATTAACATGTGTCTCATTATTAGTATTATTATTGCTATCAAGTATTCTATGATGATCTCCATTAGGAATAAATAGTGGTAAACATCTTCTATGCCATGTTTCTGATGGTGTAGCTATTTCATAATATGCATGCGGTGAAAATGAATTAATGTTTGAACCATGTGGTGTTGTTATTAATGATGATTCTGTAAAATCATTTGACATCATCATTGGTTGTGCATTATTAAATTGTGAATTGACATTATTGTCAGGATTACCTAATGAATAATGAGTTGGTAATAATTTTCGATTATTTCCTTGTATACGATCTGTTTGATGATTAATGCTGGTAGAAGTATTGTTAATAGGGCTAAGTTGTGAATTATTATTATGATTGTTACCATTATTAGTATTAGTATTATGAGGACGATGTATGTGATTCATTGTACCTGACGAAAATTTATTTTGATGACACCAAATTGCATCTAAACTTTGATAATCCGGTGATGCTGGTCTATATGAGGATTGTGTTAGTAATTGATTAACTTCTATAGGTAAAACAAAAAGGTAGACAGTTCAATTCTGTCTAGTTACAAGTTATCACTAAGCAAAAACATAAGATAAAGTGTAAGATAATGAAATATCATATGAATTCTTAATAAACATTTTCTCTAAGCTCTTCTTATATCTGATTGTCTAGCCTAAATTATCTTTGTGATTACAATATAATGATATACTGGTCTTTGACTTCACCATGTGGGATTAGACACATAGAACCCTCAGGTCTCGCGACGAGCGCTTAATATTAATATCACTGAACCGGATTTGTTGTACCTATAAAATTTAGAATCTCCCGGTAACTTTTAATATTGAAGCTAATACACAGTCCTACAAAAAATGGCTAAACAATTAACGATTGAAATGAGAAGAAAAGTAAACAGAAAGTAGGGATAAAGTCATATCATGCACTTACCTGAATTACTTAAAACATGTGGTATACTTGAGTCCCGTTTATTATATATACCACAAGGACTAATTCCCATGGATGTATTAGAAAGTAAATGTAGACGACTTGGAGAAAACGTGTTACTATTATTATTCATACTTATTGTGGCGTGATCCATTTGATTTAACAAAGAATGACTATGTTGATGGTGAGGTTGTTGAAGATCCGAAATAAGAGGAGATATGATAGTTGGTTGATGATAACTTAATAAAGCATTATTAGTTAGAATACGTGTTGGAGAACCCAATTCCTCATGACCAGTATAAGTTTGAATATTACCATCGATTGGGATATTCGTCATCTGTAAAATAAGGGGAATCGAAAATGCAAGTGTGATTATTTGAAAATCTTTACCTAAGCAGTGAAATAGACTATATATATATATATATATATATATATATATATATATATATATATATATATATATATATATATGTGATGCAAGCTTTTTTATGTGTTTACTTATGTTTAGTTATTCTACCAGTTTATTATTACGTTTAAAGATATTGCTATGATCCCAAAAGTTCAGCATCAGTATTGTGATCAACATTTCTGAAATTCCGTTTTCTCAATGTTTATATTTCAATAAAAATTGTTAACATTCACTTTTGTTTCAATGTTTTCATCATTCTTTTAACAACCAGTTACAGATCTTCATACTTGTTTTTGAGTTGCAGTCTAAGTGTGAGGACTTACCATAATATCCAGTTGCCTATACCGAAGTAGATGGACCACGGTTCGAATATATGATTTAATGGAGAAAATTTGAATATTTTGGTTGAATATGTGATCCCTGAAGCATTCAAGAATTGTTTATTATTCACTCAAACTACTTTAATGCGATTCAGTAGAATACATAGTATTTTCAAATTTCAAAATTCTGTCTGCTCATAGCACCAATACGACGATGAAAATTGAATTATCAGTATGGGGTTGTGGAGACTATTAAGTTTTTTATTCAGACCAGAGGAGCTAATTTATGTCGGGTAGATGTAGGTATCTACCTCACTACAACTCTGTAGTCGACAATTTAATTTAAACAAAATTTTTCGCCAATGAAATCAAATAGTTGGTGTTGATCAACCTATCTAACTGTCAGAAAGATGCAAAAATTAGCTCAATAATTTAATTATATTTGTTAGTTAAACTAAGTTATCTGTTGATACTGTAGATTGCTTACATACGTTGAATTATTGACTTATTTATATCAACTACTATTTGGTTTAATATATTCAAATCCGACTATTGACCACTTGTGAATCATTATTGAAATATGGTGTGAATAAATCTTCAGCTAATGTCTTGAATTCCTTCCTACATCAGTCCTGCCACGTATTAAGCCGTTCATCATATTACAAACTATTAAAAATATCCTGACATTTATACTGAAAATTCTGTCTTTTGTGTTGATTGAAAGTTGTTTTGAGTTACAGATAATCTTTAATTGTAGATATGCTGCTCTTGCTTCGCCGATGCTCGCATTCACATCTGCATTAGATCCACCGTGTTCATCAATGATGTTGCCAAGACAAGTAAATATTTTTACATCCTACAAAGCTTGTCGATCAAGTGTGATTTGGTCAGAGTATGCTGTGTTGTATCGGAGAATCTTGCTTTTCCATTTATATATGTTGAAACCTACTACTGCTGCTACACTGGTCGTCTTCTGCATTTATTGTTGCGAAATCTAGATCGTCCAGCTAGATCCTAGCCGTCCACTGTACCCCATGCTTCCCCCCAGATGTTGACGTCTTCATGATCCCATTGAATCGCTTCAATGTGCACGAAATTGAGATGCCAAGTTGTTCGTCAGAGTAGCAAGGAATATCTAAAGCTCAAATCTATCCCCTCAGCAGTCATCAATAAAGTCTGAACAACTCAGTCACAAACATCTGAACTTGCGAAACTGGATGACACTGTCTTGAATTCTACTATAAACATGAGTTTTTTAAGAACTGGAATTTGGCGTTGCCAAAGAGTGTTAGCTTAAACGAAATCTCAATCCAGCTACGTAACATGATCTAAATTCATTTATACAGAGATCACTTGTATATAACCGGATCCATTTCATTATGGAACTATTGTATTTTCTCCAAAGCTTAAAAGTTCTGAAATTAATTCTTAATAAGATTGTGATTTCTGATTGCTGTCAAGTTTCAAGTAAAAGTCAAATATATTTAATTCATTCAGATGTTCAATTGTTCCCTAGCTTATAATTAATCCCTAATCAATTTTCAAATACTACCTTTTCTATATATATATATGATGTTCATGTTCGGTGTTCATGTTCATGAATCAATGATGTATAAATGTAATAAATCTTACTATTAATTACTTAGTATCTATTTGCCATTTATGCAGACAGAAATTTTTTTTGTTATACACAGGATTATGATAACAAAACGATAAGTAGTTAGATATGATTTATATACACATTTCCTGAATAATTTCCTGTACTTTAGGTATAACACAGGTAACTATCACTTTATTCATGTATAACAATTTATCCACACTTTGTTCTTCATTAGTTTTTGGTAAATACAAAGATATATGTATGTGTGTGTGTGTTTGTGGAAGTTCAATTCTGTATAAGGGGATAATATATAAACAAGTACGACATTCAACATCGTGATCGATTCATACTGATGTGTATAAACGATATTCTTTCTGAGGATAGGACGTTAGAATGATGAGAAAAAATTTTCCATTAGGTTGTAGAAAAAAGAATACCGTTCTTTTTGCTCAACATATCTTACTAAGTGCTATGAAAAATAAAGGTTATTTATAAAACATTGTGGTAATATCATTTGACTTCATGTATTCAGATGACAGAGATTCTATTTATCATCATGGAAATGAAGCCTTACTTTATACATTGATATCAACTGGCAGGTGGTTATTGAGTGTAACTATACCTTTGAAACACAATTGTATAATTAGCAATTTGTTGGTGCTTGAGTCTTCTCTTTGTTAATGCTAAAGATTGAATTTTGATTAGCCTATTTTAGCATATGTGTATCCCAAGTGAATTGTCTCAATATTCCCATTAATTCGTAAGTATTAAAATCACAATGGATAAGGGCCAGCAGTGTAATTCAAGATTCATGCTTCGTTCATTTTGCGACTCGTTAGCTGGATGTATGTGTAGAATGCACAGATATCACAAGAGACTGATCAAAATTCAGTCATTGATATAAACAATGAAATATTCGGGTAATTACAACTAAATAGTTCAATTCATCTCCATTGAACAAATGAATGACTATCTGATCTCAGTAGCTCAGTGGGTAGAAAATTCGGTGTTTGAACTGAAAAGTAATGGATCCGAGTCACAGAGTAGATATTAAAGCTGGAATGTAAATACATTCAGCTAATGAGTCACAACTAGAAAGCAACGTAAACCCTGAATTACAATATTAGACACTTCCCTAATTCAATGAAATACTATGTATGTAAGCTAATAGATACCTTGTAGATACTGCAATACAATTTGTTTCTTCATGAGGATCCTCATTCAGCTCCATGTTGATGGTAAACCACATTTAGGCTGATACAGTAACCAGAAAAGGTAGTTCAAAGTAAGGTAATAGATTTTGGTGATTTAATTCAGGGAAACACATCCATGGAAATTGATTCTATTTGCCACCGACTACTATAATTGCCATAAAAACTCAATCACAGATTACGTAAGCGGCCTCTTGAATATTACTAAGTGAATTAATTTCAAAATAAGGTGACGACATAAATGTAAGATAGAGAAAACTACGTTACTAGATACCTCAGAAAATTGTTTGGAAAACAATGTTCTCAATAGATATATAAGGCGATGTAGATATCTCTACCCCGTATCTGATCAAAAATCTAATTTATATACAAGGTCTCCTTTAAACAGATAAGAAATAAACTGACAAATATTTTTTTTAACTTACTCCATATTGCAGATGAGATTTTGATTCAAGTTTCATATCATTTCTCAATTCTCCCTGTTCATTTGGTAATTCTGGATGATAATAGAAAAAAAATATGATTCACATAAATAAACATGACTAGTTAAATGCCGAAAAATACGAATCGATTTACTGAATAATACTTAAATGATATTTGAAGGGGTTTTTTCTGGTGATTTAGTATTTTCATAGATGAAAGTGTGAGTCAATTAAAGCTAGAGCACCAGGGAAAACCTGGAAGCACTGGACGACCGTTTTGTCCTATTGTGGGACTCCTCATCAGTGCGTATCCACGATCTCGCCTCGCGAGATTCGATAATAAAAATCATATGCTCACTAGTCACTGCCTTCGAGAGGTAAATTCAGGAGTTCTAATGAGAAGCAGTGACCAGTGAAGTTCATACCACATCTGTTGTGAGATAGGAACTCACTGAAGACAATTGGTGAACGGTTGTTTAAATGATATTTGTTTGGATTATTGTTGGATAAACATTGATAACGAACTATTGTTATCACTCGGTGAATCATTTGATTATGACGCTAAGATAATTCATCATCTAGTATCAGTATATTAATTATTGAGGAGTTGGAGACAACTATCAGAGTTCTTTATCTTGAGATTTCAGACTAAAAATGATTTGTAAGTTGTATACTTCAAAATTCAATGAATAGAAGTTAAGGGTTAATACTTAACAGGATCAACGCACAACTAATATCTTATTGTGCGACAAAATAAATATAAAAACATTACTCATTTTAAATTCACTTATTATTGTTTGTTTGAATCTTCCCATTGATGTTTTAGGACTGCAAATGGTCAGTTTCTGATTGGCATATGTGCATACTGTGAGTATTGCCTCGATATAGCCTAAATTCACAAGTATGGTAAGCAAAGATGGATAGTGGCTAACAGTGGAATCCTGAGATGCAGGTACATCCAGCTGACTAGTTCCAAATAGGATGAAACGCGCGTCCTGGATTCCACTGCTAGCCACCATCCATCTTTGCTTAACATTACTCATTTTAATCCAAAAACAATGGTTTATTTCAGTTTTATACCATATATTTAACATGGTTAGTGGAAATGTTTGTGATTACATTTACAAACAAAAAGATAACAATCTGTTCACACTAAACAAATACAGTCATGGTCAAACTGTTGTAGCCTTTGAGTCAATGAGTCACTTGATTATGTTTTTTTACTATATTTTTTTCAGCGTAATTTGTTTTCTCACCTGATTTCACTGTAATATTTCACAGCCTTGAAATTGGATTAAAACAATTATTCGCGGGAAATGTTTCAAGAAATTAATCACTGTTTAGAAAATACCAATAATAATAACATCACTGTTTGACTAGAATATTTTGAAATTATGGTTTGTTGCTACGGTAACGGGAGTTTGTTTAGTATTTATTCAAGTACTGCTTTATGGAGGCACAAAAATGAAAACTGTTGTAGTTCGACTATGTATAATTGACTAGAAGAACTATTGATTGGAGTAAGCTACGGAGATTAGCCGCACGAAAACTTTTTTTAATTTAAGAAAATGAACTTTGATTGCCCTTACACATGTTCTATTCTAAATAAAATGAGTAAACTTAAAATTTACTTGTTTAATCTCTAGGTAAACCATGGGTTTTGATAATTACTACATTTACTTGAATGCAAGCAGCCGGAAGTCAACGGATTCGTTCAACTGACTGTACTTAACTTCACTCATCTGAATAATTCGCCGATATTTGATAAAGCATGAATAAGGTTTACCAAACGACTTGAATTCATTGTATTTCACTGGCTCACATAAAGGGTGAACAACCTAACGTTACAAGAAATAACATGTTTAGCACCAGTCAACTCTGCTCTTTAACAGTTGATGAAAAACCTAACTTTGTTTAAAATAATCATATTTTGATTAAACTACATAGTATATAACAAACAAAATAAAGTCAGTATTCATATTCTAAAACTATTTTTGATATAATTAAATGTCAGTCAATTTACTACTTCCAACTGTTTTATTACCTCATAATAAACGCATATTAATCAAATGGTTACACTCAATAGTAACATTATTATTATTATTACTATCCTTATTATTACATCACTCTGTTTAGTTTATTATCTGATTACAAAGGTCAGTTATTTGTAAATCTATTTCTTTCCTACTGATTACTAACCGCTAGTATGTGAACAACCAAATCATAGATTTACTTTCCTCTTTTATGCTGTAATTATACGAAACATAAATGTTACTAAATAACCATGATGTATTAACCTTTATTCATAGAAAACGATAAAAAAACATTCTGATGAAAGTTTTTGGCACATTTTAAGAATTAGCACATTTATAAGTGTGAGTGTGCAAAGTTAAATAACGAAATCTACCAGTATAGTAGTAGTAGTAGTAGTAGTAGTAGTAGTAGTAGTAGTAGTCCAAATGATTGTACTATTGATAAGTTTACATTGGTTACACCTTTACTTTCACTAAGTCTATCAATAATTTCTTATAAACTATGAAAATTAAATAAACAAACTAACAGTTGTTTTAACCAATTGAAATTACTGTCTAAACTTTATGTCTATATACATATAGGCAAAGGGAAATCCGCATAGTTACTAATTTAAAGATACATAATTAAATTGTGTTATATTGTGCATATATGTGTGTACATATGTGTGTTTATGTTATATCATTTAGTGTTTCATTGAAATTGTAATAGATGATCAGTTAATTTAAACAGAAAAATCAATATTTCTTTCATGTAGTAACAAAAAAAAACAAAAAATAATAATAATCAGAAGGGGGTTTGTAGAGATTTATTATTGAATCAATGTATTTAATGTTGAATGTATATCGGTAGACTTAAAGGTTAAGTGTATATACATACATATACACTTTTTGTTAACTGATTACATAATTTAATGATTAGTTCAACAGAAGTAGTTAGTTTGCATGCCCAAATTTATGAATAGTTATTCTGATACAATAGTAGTAGTAGTAGTAGTAGTAGTAGTAGTAGTAGTAGTAGTAGTAGTAGTAGTAGTGGTAGTAGTAGTAGTAGTAGTAGTGGTAGTAGTAGTAGTAGTTGAAGACCATTTCCAACGGTTTATAAACATGAATATAGAAAGTGAAATGAATATATAAACTATAAAAAATTGTTCATTCATGTGTAGTACACATTATTTATATGGTATATATACAATGTCTTTTTCAATTCAGTAAAATGTGCAAATAAATTTTGACATTTCTTCTTTCTTTCTTTCCAAAAGTAAGGTCATTTGAAAGTGTGAAAAACAAGATAGCTGTTAGAAAGAGATATTCATGTAACTGGCGGAGGGATTAATAACGAGTAACATAGGTTGAATGAACACAAACTATAGCTGAGAGCCTTGTCAGATTTATACTGGATATTTTCAACTTTTTTTTGTGTTTCGTCTTTACATTCAGACACGTTTAAGTTGTTCTTACAGATAACAGTAATTGTTGTAAATGAATAACAATCAAGATGTAAATGTCAGTTGTTGTCTGTTGGTTTGTTTTTTTATTCCAGGCAGTTATCTACTAGTAGAGGGTTATAGCTGTATGATTTTCATAGATTTACTCTTATGTATTAAGTGATTAGGGGTTGTCAGCAGATTGCCGATATTTAAATTTTGTTCTACCCAGTACTCATCATAAGGATATATCTACAACCTTCATAGAACTAATACTTCTTGTAGAATTAAAAGGTAAATTAACCGATTTCAAAGTGCTGAGGGGATCCTGAAGCTTTCTCGCAATAGACATGATAAGCTAAGGAAACATTAAAGAGCATTTTATCCAATCAGCGTTTGATTAGAAGTTTTGCTAGAAGTATCGCGAAAACGAAAAGTCACATGTACAGGTTCTGATTGGCTGATTACTACATTGCTACTATGTTTAGTAGTATGCTAGAATTTTCAGGAAAACCCAAAGGACTTCTAAAACACTATAAAAACCCAATATTTTTTGTACATAAACGAACCATTGGAGTAAAGTGTTTCTCGTATATTTTGCGCCTTTCCTCTCATGTTCAAGTCGCTGAGTAGTTCTAGCTTGGGGGTTACGAGACTAACTTAGGATCCAAGTAAAGCGCTCAATCGGCAAGACTTATTACAAAAAGCATTTAACACTCAGATGATCGGATAACAACTGACATACTGTAAGACTGATAAATTTCCACTGATTTGTCACTACGTATTAGTTTATATCATGTTTGTTTGTATCAATATACTTCTTCGAAATGGTGTTAAACTTATATTTGAACGAACAACATTCTTATCGATAAATTCTTTGTCATGAAGAATAATTGAATTACTGAAATGATTTAAACAACCTAATTTCTTCAATAGTATCATGATTTACATCATAGCGTTTCTTTGGTTAGCGTTTTTTTTAGCGAGTTAGTTTTCCACGGGATGGAGTCGCTAACCCCAAGCCCAACCCTCCTCCTTTATCCGGGCTTGGGATAGGCAATAGACCCTAGAGGGGCTAAGTTGATCCTATTTAGACAACTATTAAAAATTAAGAAGTACTAGATAACTATTTTGTTCCAGTATGAGATTGCTCAATAATATTCATTCACGTCCTCACCTGGGATCAGACATTGGTTATTCAACCATTTCATTAATCACCTGATATTCGGATAACTGATCACATGTTTGGTGATCAGCATTGTAGAACTTCAATTCATTCTTAATCTTATTCAACCATCTTCTAATTAATGAAACATTCATATACATATTTCAATTCTTTTCTCTTAAAATGATGTTTTATTCAATATTACTTTATGATAGAGTATTAGTCATCAAAGTAACAGCGGTTTATTAATGAACTTGTCAATTAATCTTGTTTAACATCCCTTGAGGTTTAAATAGTGAAAAAGAAATTGTAACCATCAATGAATGAAGTAAATTAAATTTTAATAAATTCTCAAAAAGTTCTACGATCGTCAATGCAAATTTATAATGATAAAATGGAATGTACTTTTAGGGATAAGACAAAATTTGTTACTATATTTTGTTAACACTTGT